TTCTAGCTTGAGCCACTGCAGGCATGTGCCAGCATTTCCTCAGTCAGAAGGGATGTTTGTACTGTTACAAACTGGTTCAGCCTAGCCAGGTTAGACTAACCTGCAAAGACTGAATCAATTCAGGCACAGGCTTGTTGAATATCTGTTCCTAGCCCCAGTGTGATTAGGCAGATAGCACGTTAAATGAACACTGCATCCCAACCTTCAGGTCAGTGCCCATGCTAATGGCTTAAAATGAACACAGCCCAACAGGAGTGATGTTCCCATTAAAAAAGAATGCTATACATTCAAAAATGTTTTTAAACTCTGAACCATGTTGTTTCAGATTCTGTATGTCAATAAGCCCAGATCTTATTATGAAATTTTGTAGAGGAATAACTTACCATTCCTGTAAGGCAAAGGAAACTTCCATCTGAGTGTTGCTCCTCTTTTCTAAACTTCTGGCCTCTGAAAAAACCCTATGGCTATTGAATGTGTAGCACTTTTAAGAAAGCTATTAGATCATCAATTAATGGACATGACACTGGGGAGTTATCTTTCTTGTACATTATTTGATAAGCTTTGGGATTCTTAACCTTTGGGATTTGTAATAAAATCTGGACGACTGTAGCTAAGTACAGACAGTCAAAAAACCTGAGCTTTCTCTAAGCTGGGTAGATTGGACCATTATTGAACAGAGAACACATTCACTCATGGGTTGGCCAAGGTGGGCAAATGTGCCAAAGGGGGCACACTTGCACACCTCCCAGCCCCGTCATGCTGCAAATGCCCTGGCCCCACCCCATTGCCAGCCCTCGCCTGTCATCCGGAGAAGGCGGTATGTGGTGGTGGTGGTGGTGGTGGTGGTGTGGGGGGGACAGACTCTGCTCTGGTCCACCAGCCAGTGTCCACACAGCAGGCGGTGGGGAAAGCCCTTGAGGCAATGGCTGTCTCCCTTGCAGAGGGTTCTGTCAGGCTGCAATAGCCTCAGCCCTGCCCTTTTGCTAGCCCCCCCACCTGTCAGCCACTGGGGGGCAGGTGTGGAGGAAAAGACCCCCACCTCACCCTGCCTTCCAGAGTCTGAAAAATAGATGGGAGGGAAAACCCCTGAGGTGTGGGCTATCCCCCCCAGCTCAGCTCCACTCGGCTGCAAACTCCCTAGCCCTGCCCCCTCACCAGCCACCTGCCTATCAGCCATGGGGTTGGGGTGGGCGGGAGGGAATGGACCCTGCTCTGGTCCCCCTGCTGGGGTTTGCACATTTTGGGGGACGGGGGAAAGCCCCAAAGATGACAGTGAGGGTGAGGGTACAGGACTGAGGCATTTGCAGCACAGTGAAGCTGCATTTTGGGGAAGAAAGCCCCTGCCTGGGGGGCTTGCCCCACTGTGCAGACCCCAGTTGGGGGCTGGGGCGGAGGTCCATTCCTTCCCCCTCACCTGTCCCCCATGGCTGAGAGGCTGAGATGAGGGGATGGGGCTGGGGCAGCAGAGCCATGCTGCAAGGGCAAAATTCCCCACCTCTGGAGGCTTCCCCCACCCCCTGCTGTACAGACTCTGCCTGAGAGGAGCAGGGGCTGGGCCAGAAGTCTGTACTCCTCCTTGCCTGTACCCCTACCATTGCCAATGGGGCTGGGGAGGCTGCCTCAGGTCTGTGACAGTCAGGGTGGGGCTGCCTAGCTGGGTTGAAGCTGGGAAAGCTGGGGCAGAGTCTAGCCTATCCAAGCTGAGAGGCAGGGGTTAGCGACGGCTTCACTGCATCCTTGGATACAGGAAGGCTGAGACCTAACTTGTGTTGGGAGGGGATCTTGGACAGAAGTTCAACAGGCCAGTTTAACCAGATCAGTTAAGTCTGATACTGCATCTGTCCAGATCTATCTTAAACTGGTTTGGGCCATTTTAAATAGGTCTCTGTGCACTGAACTTCTGATCTGTTACAATTTAAACCAGTTTCGAATCACTTATACCAGTTTATGTATCATGTCTGTCCCTAGCCTGTATGTTTATTTTTTTGCTGTTCCCTAAGTCTGTTCTGATGCATCTCAAGCAAAATCAGGGATGTCATCCTTCCACTCTACTCGGCCTTAGTGAGGCTGCAGCTGGAGTACTACATCCGGTTTTGGACCCCCCCACTTCAGGAGGGACATGGATAAGCTTGAGAGAGTTCAGAGGAGAGCCACCCACATGATCAAAGGCAAAGAGAGCAAGCCTTACAAGGAGAGGCTGAGGGACATGGGACTCTTCAGCCTGGAGAAGAGAAGGCTCGGGGGGACTTAGTGGCAGCCTATAAGTACATAAGGGGGGTGCACCAGGATCTGGGAGAACAGTTATTCACCAGAGCGCCCCAAGGGATAACAAGGTCTAACAGCCACAAAATTATGGAAGGCCGATTTAGACTAGACAGAAGGAGAAACTTCTTTACAACCTAAGTTTCCAAGGTCTGGAACAGACTCCCCCAGTGGTGGTGCAAGCACCTACTCTGGACTCATTTAAATGGCATTTGGATTCTTATCTTGAGGGGGTCATTTGATCCCAGTAGACTTCCTGCCTACGGTAGGGGGCCTGGACTCGATGATCTTGCGAGATCCCTTTCAGCCCCTAATGTCTATGAATCTATGAATCTTTGAATCTATAAGTCAAAGTGTTAAGTTGCAGTAGATTTACAAAAGGTGGCTACTGTGGGAGATGTCTGGTTAAAGGACTAGAGGTGTTGGTTAAAAGACCTACACCAAATTGTTGCCCAGGGTCTACCTGTACACTATAGTGTTAATCTAATATAAAGCTACCGCCAAAAGATTACAATCTAAAGCCTTGATTCTGGAGTTAGTAGTGTGCAAACAGATTGTTGTATTCATTTTTTAAAAAGTAATTTTCTGTGATTTTAATGGGGATGATTATTCTATGGAAATATCTGCTGGAAATGAGGCACATGTTGGAAACTGGCAAATGTCTAGTGGTTTGGGTCTAAAGCAATCCCCAAACCAAACTTCATTGATTTCAATCATGGTCTGAACAAGAATTGCCCAGTATGTATCAGTTGCAAGATCAAAGTCTAAATTGCTGAGAAGCAAGCCAGGCAGGGATATGAATCACACACATATGGGATGGGTCACAGTTTTAATAATTCAGTATGGCAGTCCCCAAATCCCCGCTCTGTCAATCCAGGTGTTTAACTGTTTCCAGTGCAGGATATTCCCTCCTCAATTTATTTCTAACTTCTTTCTCCCTGTGTAGGTGGGACTGGATGTGCAAAGTTACCATAAGGAGGACCTTAGACCTCATCCCCAAACATAAGGTCCATCAGTGAAATCCTATCCCTCATTTGCATCTGGGAGCTGCTCTTTTAGCATTTCACCTGCATTGGATGCCAGCTGCAACAAGCTAACATTTTTAATTTCCTAATTTTAACCTTTGAAATACAATTGCTATAGACCTACCTGGGCCTCCCTGAAGTTTGAGGGGGGAAAATGTCAAACCATTAGATCTCTTGAAAATTTGACTTCACGGGGGAAAAAGTCCTTTCTAAACCCAGGCAATCAGTCAGACCTGCAGCATTTCAAAAGATATAACCGTCATGCTGTAATTAAAGTGAGGGAGGGTTGGGAAGCTAAATAAAAGAAAAGAATTTCAGAAAGCCTGGCCAGGTTTAAATGGGTGGTGGATGGGTAGACAATAACCAATCATCTGCTCCAACCCCTTTTTTGTTTTACCCAAAGGAAAACCAGAGGCCTTTGAAAGGTCACCAACAGGCCCTGTTCCAAAATATATGCTCCCTTGGAATCTGTCCTCCCACAAGATGTTGTACTCTCTGTTCTCAATTCAAAGCCTTCCACCAGAAAATTGCTGGGAAGGCTGTTTAACACAATGACCAAAGGTGAAAGCAGCAGAGGGAATGGATGGGAAGGATAGGGAGGCAACCAAATAAACAAGCTGTGGTTTGATCTACGCATGTGTACGTTGTTCTGATTCTGTGTAAGCAGTAGTTGAAAATGAAAGAAATCAGATTATTACACAAACTCCCTCATGAAAGATGAACTGCAATATGTAGAGCTGTGGCAAATAACCACCAAATAAAATAAAAAGCCAAATAACTAATTTAAAATAAAATGAATTTCACCAACATTACTTTTGAGCCTGCTAGACTTTGATCTTACAATTGTTCTAAAAGTTAAACCACAAATGGTTTTCCAGTCTGACATTTCTCATTTCCAGCAGAGATTTCTAGCGTTTAATCACAGCCCCACTAAGGGACACTTGGAGAATTACTTTTTAAAAAATGGGAATATAATTTGGAATTACATTTCTAGGAGTCCTCAAAGGAAAAAGACAGCATACCTAGCCTGATTTTTCTTATTGATTTTTTTTATTAAAAGAACATTTTTCCCTTCATATTTTTTAACACTGAAGTCCGTATTATAAATTAAGCTCTTTCTAAATCTGTCTCTCAGTACAAGCCACTGTTGTCCATAATCTACAGTGAAAATCTTAAGGCATTTATAGCAGGTAGCCTTACAAAAATTAGTGTTGATGCATAAACCAAAATGAAATCTAGTTTGCTTTTCCTTAGCTGAATTATTGAGACAGCAGTTTTACTAGTACCGACATCTTGCTTTTGGTATTCAAGTAAGCAGATACAACTTTAAGATACATAAGATTTTACTATGTTGCAAGAGGAGAACCCATTTTTACCAAATCAATTTTTAATCAGTAATCACATTTTACAAAATAGGCAGTTATTGATATGCTGGCATTTACTAGATAATAAAAATAAAATTAGCATCAAAGGGTACACTAATAAGTATATAACTTTAGACAAACTAGCACAACTGTTTCTTTCTAATGTTTTGGTTAGCAACCAAAAGCATCACTAAGGGAATCAATAAATGTGTTACATTTTTTAAAGTTTGATTTAATCCCTCAAAGCAGACAGAAACATTGAAGAAAAATGTAAATTTAAAAAAGCAGGGTTGCTTTCATTTTAACAATTTTTTAATACTTTTTAAAGTGAAACGGTGTATAAACTTACCCAGGGAAAACTGAAGGACAGATGCAGTAGTCGTGTTAAGGCTGGAGGTGGTCTAGAGGAGGAAACACACACAATATTACTTTTTTGCATCAAAACATCAATACACTACTTTTATCACATTTTTTTCAAAAAACTGGAATATTCTGGAGCTCCATGTCTCCAGTATACAGAACCATTCATTTTTAATCTTTTCAGGTTGAGTGATCATGGACATTGAAATTATGTCATTCTGATTATTGATATTTCATCACAAGTCAAACCTAGAGACTCTCCATCTTTGGCAGTACACGTCTACAGAACTAGCAAATATTTTCAAGCATTGGTGCTTGATCAGTGTTCAGAAAGGTTAAAGGATAAATTGGTCCCTAACTTCAGTGGGAGTCTGCAGAGGCACAATGGTTTTCACTCTTAAATCAAGACTTAAAGATTAAAGCAAAATAATAGAATCTAATTCCTTATCAGCTAAACATATTTTCATTTATAACACATAGTGCAAACCAACTAGATTTTATACTTGCAGCTGTATATGATTATGAAAGAGCAATTGTAATGGGAAGATACAACCAGCAACTGTAATGGGAAGAATAGGTTAAGAAACTTAACCTGTCCCTTTCTCAGATGTCTCCTCCCTTCTAGTTCTGCATCACCTCATGTTTTTGTGAAACTGCAGAAGTGAAAAGTTAATTTTTTTTTAAATGACAGAGCTACACAAGAAGTGCCAAAAGGAAGTTCCAAGCCCTTCTAGTGCATTTGGAATCCTATAATTAACGATGCAGGCAAAAATCAACATTACTTAATGTTTACTTGGCTGGCACATGACAAAAATGAGCTCAATATTCAGTGGGGTGATTTACAGAGGCAAACAGATAAACTGGAACAGGTGGAGAGAATGGCTACAAGGATGATCCGGGGAACAGACAGTCTGTTTTATAAGTATAGATTAAAAGAGCTTGCCATGTCTAGCCCAGCAAAACTAAGGCTGAGTAAGGATATTACTTTTTGCAAATTCATTGTGGCATTAACACCAGGGAGGGAGGTATTTCAAATGAAGGGATGTTGTTTAAAATGAAGGACAATATTCACACAGGATAAAAAATGTATAAACCGGTCATGAATAAATTGTAGTAAGAAACGGGAAGTCTTTTAAATGTCTTCTCCAAGGTTTAAACTTCTGCTCCAAGTCTTTTAAACTTCTGCTCCAAGCAAGGTTCCGGAGCAATACTAGTATGGACAAACAACAAGACCAACTTCAAGGTGGCGTTTGACAAGTTACAAAGAGGGTCATATGATATCTGTCTGTATTAGCTAGAAACTGGACTTGAAGACCCAAGTGGTGTTACATGTGTGCTCAACTGTGAAGTAGACTAATTGGCAGTGGAGTAAAGTGTCACCATCTATACACGTGACACTATTAGGCCACAGTAAACTAATTTACACCAGTGTAAGATTGCACTGTTGGGGACAGTACTATTTTACGGCTGTATAATTAACTGCAATTAAACTCCTGTGTAGATGCTGACCGGGGGGCATAAATTACACCCAGTCAGCCAGGGGCCAGACTCATGCCTGCCAGCTAGCCACACAGCTCCACTCTTTCACAACCCAGCCAGCTGCTCTGTCGCCCAGTGCCATCACCTGGAGCCTAGGACTGACCCCCCCATAATCCCTAGCAGCCTGGGCCTGCTCTACCCTGGCTCAAATTGCTGCTTTCCCAGGACCACATGCAGTAGTTTACTCCAGCTAAAACTGCTCCAGAGTTTATTGCTTTGCATTAATTGCATGTGTAGGTACATCCAACTAGTTCCTTCCAAATCCTATGCTCCTATGTAAGAAGAGGCAAGCTAACATCTATCTTATCTTTTGAGTAAAAACAATGACTGTTTTTGTGTGAGGTTGTTTGCATAATTTACAAAGAAAACTCAAGGTCAAACTCTTCTATTAAACTCAGAAAGCAGAGGGCACGTCTACATGAAATATTTACTGTGCAGTACATTAATTAGCCTCGTAATAAACATAATATGTCTACATGTGTGCCCCTATTAGGCTGGAGTAAATTAATTTACTCCACAGCAGGATCCTACAAGTAAATACAAGTACTGTTCTGCTGCAGAGGTTTCTACTGTGCAGCACCACATGTGAACACACTGCCCTGGCTGGCAGGGGCACAAAGGTGCTCGAGTGCAAGGGCTGCCTGTCAGCTAGTCCTGTGCTGAAGCACCTTCATGCCCCAGCCAGTTCCACCACAACACGCTGAGCTGGGGGGAGCAACCCCAGGCGGGCAGGCTCACCCCCAGGGCTCACTGCTTTGATCTGGCTCAACGTGCTATGGTCCCAGAAGTACATGCAAATGGCAGGCCTGGAGCAATAAGCTCTGGAGTGTATTGCTTCACATTAATATGCACGTTTAGATGGGCCCAGTTTGTGTTACAAGAGAAATTGCTCTCTTGGGGTGACTTGGATTCAGCAGACTCAAACAGGAGGCAAGAAAGAAAAGTGGAAATCAACATGGGAAAGAAGAATAGCATTTATGAACACAGAATGAACATTTACTAAATGAGTAAATGCATAAGTTAAAGCCAGCCTTGCTGAGCAATCTGAATTGCTGCCATATCTTAAATGCCCAGTGACCCTGGCAGAATTAGAAAGATAGTTTTAAAGATAGTTTGTAAGGACGAACAATACATTTTGCCTATGATTTCCCTGCGGAATAAAATGCAAACATGAGCTCTTTCATTATTAGGCATGCATGCCTTCTTGAATTAACCAATGTTTCTTGAAAAACATGTATCGGTATGAGAGACTTAAGGTAAATCCTATTTCTCATTGATGTTTGAATTTCCACATTTTCCTCTGATAGCTAATCAGTGTAATGATACAGAAGCAGAGCTGATTCTAAACTTGAATACTCTCTGAATGCTTTTCAGGCCTCTGATGCTGCAGAGCAACTGGTACTGCTCAGTGACCTGCATAGACTTTTTCTCTCTTTTGAGAATTTCTCTAAGTGGATAATCAGAGCATGTGCTTTGGCCTATAATAAAAGACCTTTCAGTAAGACCAGAAAATCAGAATATGGAGACAACAGATTTGAAGGTATCAAGAAAGTGAATAATATTTTGAGGCATTTCTTTCACCTGGTGCACACCCTAAAACCAAAACAGATCCTCCTACCTCTTTACTGATCATAGTCTTCTTTAAAAATCTAGAGCTTTTAAAAAAGTTTGATTCTGGATAATTATGCTAGACAAGTATCTGATTTAACACAGAACATAGGTCAGTGCTTAGATACAGTTTTGGTCATATCATTCTTCTGTACATCTGATCATCTGCCACCTTAAGTGGAATGAAGATTAGAATCAAAGATCACGATTTAGGCCTGTCCAAAATAGCAACTACTACAGCAGAGATAAGCAAGAATTTCCTAAAGAGACACTGAAACATCAGAGACAGAGGTCTGAGAATGGGTTCTCAAATGTGTTCTAGTCTAGTCTAGTCTATGTATATTCTTATATAGTGTTTATCCCTGTTGCACTGGAGCAATTTCCAGTAGTACTGTAAGAAAAGTGACTATCATCTGTCATTCCTTTTTGTTCTTTCATTCTCTTCCCTAGGAGAGGCAAGTATGCTGGGGAGTGTTTTGTTTTGCATGCTACATTCACAAGGCAAATTTCTTACAATGTAGTCTTAGTCAAAATGCATAGTAGAGAAGCTCATAAAAGACTATGGCAGACAATGTTCTTTGGGTGAATCTGATAGCTTTTATTAGACTAACTTAAATAGCTGGAAGAATTTTTCCAGCTATTTAAGTTGGTTTAATAAAAGATATCAGATTCAACCAAAGAACATTGTCTGCCTATGTCCTTAGACCAACATGGCTACAACCTACACCCGTATAAAAGACTATGTGCATTTCAGGAGGATCCCAAAAATATATTATTGCAGGTAATAATCTATGAGCACAGGGTATATCTATGCTGTAGCAGCAACAGCATGCCTCAGCTGGAATGGCCCAAAATATGCACTCTCCCCTGCTCCCATAGGCACACACAGTGTCCGGAAGTGCTCTGTTAGACACACACCCCTTGAGATCTCATTTCCAGATATGCCTCACTGACATATTCGTATGCTTGGAATATCCTTGGTGGAACAGGTGGCCCAAGAGTGCTTGGGGCTATCTTGGTTGGGACACACTATTGTTGTGGTGTAAATGTGGCTTAAGAAGGATTTAACAAGATAGATTCCAAAACTCTTGTGCAGTTGGTGTGTCTACATAAGATGTTTACTGCACAGTTGACTAATTAACTACATACTTACATAGTAAATGTCTCAGCGTCTACACACGCGCCCCTATTAGGGTACACAAAACTAATAAACTTTGCAACAGGCTAGTACTTGCAAATACAAGTAATACCCTGTGGCAGAGTTTTTTGCAATGCATGTGTAGACACTGCTCTGGCTGGCTGGGGCACAAGGTGCTTCAGTGTGGGGCCAGCCAGCAGGCAGTCCCTCTTGTTGAAGTACCCTTGTGCCACAGCCAGTCCTTCCACAGCACGTGGAGCCTGTTATGAGCAGCCCTGGGCTGGCAGGCTGACCCCCTGGACGTGTTGCCATCCCAGGCTGCTCCGACTGGGTTCCACATACTGTGCAGGAAAAAAATCCAGAGCAATATGCTCCAGAGTTTTTTGTACCTGGACACATGTTCAAAGGGAGCACCCAGGAGCAAAAAACTCTGGGGCAATAAGAAGAATCTATCAATCTATTAAGAAGAACATGGATGGTTTGAAAATTCTTAAGACAGAAGTACGAACAGTTATCAACCAAATGAAAAACAATAAAGCTACAGGACCATATGAGATTGCAGTAGAACAAATATGTGCCCTACGTGTACAAAACCTGTACTGAAAATATACCTTTCCCTCTCAGATCTTCCTAATGGGCAAACCTGTCTCTCTCAACAAAAGTAAAGCAGCCATACTTGCATAAAATTTAAAACTCAGGGGTTTAAACTATAACTTAAATAATAACTTTTAAATACTTAACTCTTTGCACGCTTTTTGTTAGGATCAATTTCAATATTGGATATCACATTTATCATGCTAAATAATAAAGTGCTTTCTGGTTGAGTTATGAGTAGCTATTATTTTAGTTTACATTCAATTAATTCTGTTGCGTGAGTTCTAATTTCAACAAGAAACCCTTCAATTTATCAATGTTCTGTAGCTCATATGTTTAACAAATTAAATGTATCAATTACAGAAAAGGTATTCATGCAGAATTAAATTAGACTGTGTTAAATTAATTGACTTATGCTTTTTGATAACTAAATCTTTCTAATTGCTTAAGAACTATGTTAATACAGGTTGTTACAAACTTTGTACATTAATGATGCTAATCAAGACTTCAAGAATTGGGGGTTGCAGGTGGAGAGAGGCCTTTATTTTCTTTGATGCTGAGGAATTTTAAAAGAGCATTTTTTTTCTGCTTACAGCATCATGGAAGCTATAAGTCTTTCCAGGATTCCTCTACTGGTAATTTCTCAACAACCAACATGTTGGATTTGGCATTAAAAATATCCATCCAGAGCGCTAGACAGGTACACTCAGTTGCTGCACACAGGAGTCAGAGGAAGGAGGGGGTGGTCAAGGAACCAAACCAGGGCTGTCAGATCAGCTGATTTTTTCATTTTGCAAATTCAAAATTTTTTGTTCAAGTATCTCAAACCAATAATGAAATTTACTCTGTGATGGAGATGAGAGCCGAGATTTCAGCAGCCATGACTGAGGGTGACAAGATAAAAGAATAGCCTGGGGAGGACAGAGAAAGTCTGATTATTCAGGGAGAAGGGGATCTAAACAAAAGGAATGAGAAACAAAGCCTTGATCTGCTGCGGATAGGGAAATAGGACTCAAGTAGTAGGAAAATTGGGTAAAAGGCATAAGAAAAAAAGAATTTAGTAGAAACTTAATATACATATTAGGAGATTTGAAAATCTACAGTTGGTCCTGGCCCAGACTGGGAAAAAGAAACAAATTGGTACTAGGAACAAAAGGACAGAAAAGCATAGGACCAAAAGGTACTTCCTGGATCATCAGGTCTAATTATGTTATATAACTATGCAAGCAGCTATGTTATACAATCCCATTCATAAAGGTATTGAGTTCCTTCATAAACCTACTTCATGTTCTTCCTCCCATTAACCTAGTCCTAACTCTGGTGCTAGCTGCCTTAATGACTTTGGACAAGTCATTTAGAACCAGATCTACATTGGTCATAACTCTCTGATTTAGTTAGTCTATAAGGTGCCAATCTACCCTGCCTTCTACCTGACTTCAAACTAACATGGCTAACTACCTTTCTCTGCATACAGATATTTAGCCAGCCAAATACCCAAATAGCTGGCTTAATTTATTGTTCTGGCCCTAAAAATCTGTCATTTAGAAATTATTAAGTAATTATAAAGTGGCAAAAGGTGTCACACAACCCTGTGGTTAACTAGCAATACCATGCAATTCCAAACTTATACTTTTGAATATTATGCCAAATAGATGTGAATCAATCAACTGCCTACTAGTTTTTGGCCTCATATAATATTTAGCAAGCCTTTAAGTAAAGCAGCTATAAGCTTTAACACTACTGTGAGCCAGGTAAATACATTACCTCATTATACACACACTGAGACATCAGTGGCCAGATTCAGTTTGCTCACTGCTGCTGGGTGGGTAGGGGGTGCCTTGCCATGGAGGCACTGGGGTCATGGCAGCAGCACTGAGCTTCCCCACATGGTCCCGCTCTGCCTTGCCATGCTAGGTATTGCCTGCTGGGCCACGGAGGCCCCCAGGGGGAGGGCAGCAGGGCAGACAGCCCCAAGCCTGCAGTGGGCAGCCTGCATCTACCCCCTCACCCCCACAGGCTCTGTTCTGGCTTTGCCACCTGTGGGGGAGGAGGAACTGGGCTCTGCACTCCACTCTGCTGCAGCAGCCACTACCTTCCACGCGTGGCCGCTGGGGCTCAGGTACTGCTGCAGGGGGCAGGGCGCTACAGACCTGGGTCTCTGACCCCATAGCCCTGGCAGCAGGGGGTCCCCTCTGGCATGTCTGGGGGAGGATGGGGGGGCTTTGGGTGGAGATCGAGGGGCACTGGCAGGGCCAGGAGGCTATGGGTCAGGAGTGAGGGGCACCACAAGGCCCCAGGGGATTGTGTGTGCCAAGTGAGGGACACCAACAGGGCCAAGGGGGCTGTGGGTCAGGAATAAGGGGGACCAGAAGGTCCCAGGGGACCAGGGCTGGTGAGTGAGGGGCACCGGCAGGGCCAGGGGGCTGTGGATGGGGAAGTGAGGAGCATCAACAGGGCTGGGGAGGCTGTGGGTAGGGAGTGATGGTCAATGACATGGGCAGGGCACCGGCATATCAGGGCTGCTCAGTGCCATAAAGCAGCAGGGGGGACAGCCACAACTGTACTCGTGTCCTGGTAGGTGAAGGGGACAGAGGAAGCTCTTATTTTCCATGATAAAAAAACCCAAAATCAAATGCCAAAATTTATAGGTATTTAGAATGTATTTTATTATAGTGATTGAGGCACTGGTAGGCTTCCCAACTGCTTTAAAATTGTAAGTATATCAATAAAACATTGTGTTCAACTGATACCTATAGATATAGTGGCGTTTCATTTTAATCATGGAAAAAGGTGGATTTTGGAAGGTTTCAATCTGAGAACCTGCGATTTTTAAACAAAGAAAACCAGGATCCCTGATTATTAAAAACCTCTCTGTTGAACACCAACTTTTCAAAGCACATCAACATGTCTGCCATTGACGAGGTCTGAATTCAGAACCTGGAGTCCCCTGACCCATGCAAATTAGCCAACATCTACTTACCAGTTCTCTTGGACCATATGGCTCACAGAAAGTGACTGCATTGCCATGCATAATTATACCGCACTGATCTCCAACCTCACAGTTACTACATTCAGACCTGCAGGAAAACCAGAACATAGGCAAACTGAATATTATAAGTTCATCAATTCAAGACTGTGTGATGCTACTAAACTGTTAAAATAAGAATTAAAATCTGACACTTAGACGCACAGGACTCTAGTTACTATAAATTGAATTTAAAAGACAAACTTATAACCAGCTGATATGATACTATATTCGTATATGATAGCTGTCAATAGAAGGGACAAACACTTTTTTCAGTGAAATACTGTATTTCTCGAATATAAGACAACCCTGAATATAACACAACCCCCACCCGCTGCCCGCCCAATAATTCAACTCTACCTATGAAAAAGGTATAAATGTATTATTATTTTTCAGATATACATTCTAATTATTGGAGGTTTGCCTTGAATTTGTCCCCCTTCCACAGCCATGGCAGGGAAAATAAATCTGGGGGTTAGGGAACTCCCTTGCCCTCTTCTCCCTCCCCTAACTTCTTCCCTCTGCAGCCCCTTCCCCTGCTGCTTATTATCAAAACCTGCTCTCCCTGAGTACCTGGAAGTCAGGGGCAAATTTGAAAACAAGGACCTTGAAATAAATGTCTGTAGTAACTTGCATGTAGTACCCATAGATTTACTTCCCAGTACCCATAGATTTACTTACTCAGAATTGATGCATTTTACCTTTTTGAAATTGCTGCAAGATTTAGCATAGGTACTCCATAAACACACTTTTAAGCAGTAGTTTTCCATCTACTTATATATAGTACAAACTATCCATGATATTAGTCTAAAAACAAAAGACTTGCAATTTACCACATAGTTCACTGGGCTCAGCCCCAGCAGAGTCAACAGCATTTAAAAACAGGGTAACTCTATAACTAAGCACTGTTCAGTATGCGTGTGTACTCAAGATATCCCCCAGAAAGGATCCATGTGCTAATTAATTCCCCACTCAGGACTGGATCTTGGTGTTCTTGTCATGAGTCCTGGGATCCTTCAAAAATTTATATGCAGATGAGGCACAGGGCAACCTGGTCCAGCTCCACCTCATGGAGGGTTGAACCACAATAATCATTTGCGACCAGCTGAGTGCAGGGGGAGAGGAAGGGCAGACGGGATAGAGGGATTCTAGGTGAATTGTTTGGGGATCCATTTGGTGAGGTTTGCTAGATGTTTAAGGCTGGTGAAGAAACAGGAATCATTAGAAATGGGGAAAAAAGGCACAGTTCACCTGTAGGAATGAAGAGGAAATCAAAAAATATTCAATGTAGTGGCTCCCTGTGACTTGAAAAAGAGTCAGTGCTGAGGAAGGTTCCCATCAACATGTCTGCCCAATATAGGCAATGTGTTTTATAGTCATGTTCAGTATTGGCTGCATTTAATCAACTTCATAGTTGGTTTCCATTAGCAACTACTGCTTTTGGCAGCAGTTTAATGATATATAATGTATTTAATGAGGTTTCCTTGTATGCAAATGTAATACAGGAGGCTTTTTCCCCATGCTGGTTGGGAGGGAAACCTCATCTTGTACTTGATTAAATATGATATTTACTTCCCACTCTGTCCTGTCCTCAACGATGGCTCTCCAAATCTCATTTATTTCAACAGATTAAATTGCCTTCACTTAAAGTTTTCAACACAATGAGCTGTGAGAAACCTAGTGAAACTCCTACATAATTTAATGTACCCTGAAGCTATAAACCTTTGAAAAATCTTTACCACATATTTAATAAGCTATATATAAAACCAACATCAATGCAATCAATACTTCATTTCCATTACAGAACAAAACACAAGGAAACTTTAAAGTTGGGTGGTCATCATCACTCAAGTGGACTAAGTATGAGTGATAAAGAATGACATGGCTACTTTAGATCCCTGGTACACCCTTGTGTTGCAAAACTCCTTGACAAAAAACAGACATATAGTCTTCACATCAGGAACAAACAGCCACAGCATATTCCCCAGCCAGCCAGTTTAATTTCAATCTCATTTTTGTCCTTCCTCAGAGTGGGAACCAGGCATTTTTCACTTCCCATCTAGGCCAGTGGTTTTATAAGCGTAAGAAATATTATCCATATCTGGAAAGAAAGATGTAGTGCTGCATATCATCTTCTGAATGATATTACTGCAAATCACAATACCTCACAATCTCCTTTACAGCCTCCTTTACACATTAACTAGGTGAGGTGACAGAATTGTCCCCTCAGACACTCCGCAGAAGAAGCATCATTCAGGAGATGGCCAAGTCCCTGACAACATCCCCTAGGATCTATTTGACAGAAATGAATAAACACTTGAGAAAGGGGAAGTCATTTTGAAGTGGGAGCCAAACCTTTTTGGCAGATATGCCACACATTCACCCTGCATCCTCGACTGTCACTCTCATCCCTTTCCTCTAGCTGATCTGCTGCTCAGCTTTCTTCTCCCTGCCCTACCAGCCACTGTGCTGCCTGTCCAACCCTAATCTAAACAATAGCTATATAGTATATAGTAAGAATGAAAACTGAATCCCTCTGGGCTTTCTGGGATTATCTGCTCAGAGGGGAGACTCATCCCAAAAGAGGTAATGAATGGGTTCTTCAGGGTCACTGTCTTCAGGGTTCTGATGAAAAAAGGAAGTTTTAAAGGTCAGGATGAGGGTCCAGAGGTGCATGATTGATACACATTCCTTTGTAGATGGCCCGCTTTGCCCAGCTTCCTTCCTGGAAAGCTCTGTCCATTTAACAGGCAGTGTGGCCTAGCTCAATAATCAATATGAAGTAAGCTTGCACCCGCCTACCTTGTTATTCCATGAACAATTTCTGCTAATGAAATCTCCAAAATGAATTTCACTATCTTGAGTAAGCACAGAGGTGGGCAATTATTTTGGTTGGAGGGCCGCTTAATGAGTTTTGGTGAGCTGTTGAGGGCCACAATAGTAGCCCCGCCCCTTGACAGGTGCCCCACACCCTGGTCACCATCTTGGGATCGGAAGTCCCACTCCCTAGCCCCTGACCTTTGCTACTGGAAGTCCTTCCCCTTGGCCCTGAAAGTACTCCTTTTGGGTTGGGGGTTGCCATCTTGGAACCAGAAAGAAACCAAATCATACACTAAAAATCAAACACCTACTATAACATATTTTCATTTTATTTCAAAAAATATTTTTGCACTGATTTATGTCTGTTTGTGTAGCACATATAGAGGTGATTGCACAATAGCTTAAAAATAAAGTCTTACTCATATATTGTACGTGGGGTGTATGTATGGTGGGGCGTATGTGGGGTTTATGAGAGGGTGTGGCTGTGTGTATGGGGTGTAGGATATATCGACGGCGTGTGTATATGTCAGAGGGTTGGGGGGGTGTAGGCAGAGTGCGGGTGTATGTGAGGATTGTGGGGTGTAAGGGAGGGTGAAGGAATGTGGGGACCCCCCACATACCCCCCCGTGCACAGCCCCTGTCAACAGCAGCAGCAGGGGGTGAACCACAGTGTGTTTGTGGCCCGCGCAGGCACTGTTGCCTGGCAGCATGCAGTTCTGGCTGGCTCCAGGAGCTGCACATGATGGCAAGGAGCAGAGTCAGGCTAGCCCGCCTCTATAGCACAGGGCTCATATGCAGTTTCCGGCACTTGCGCACCGCCAGGGGGAAGCCCTGTATGCAGGATGACGCCGGCTGCCTTCCCCACTCCCTGCCACCATGTACAGGTGCTGGGACTCCACTGGAAATGGCAGGTAACCCTGTCCCTGCTTCACAGCAGCTGCACGTGTGGCACGGAATGCAGCTGGCTCCATCGTGCAGGGCTTCCCCCTGGTGGCTCATGAACGCCAGATGCTGCACATGAGTCATGGGGAGCCTCCTGCAATAGAAGTGGACCCGCTTGGGTCCACTCCATGCCACCACGTGCAGCTCCTATAATTAGCTGGAGCTACACGCCATCCAGCAGCATTGCCTGCGTGGGCCACGAGCACCCCTGAAGGCCTGCCACCTGCTGCTGCTGCTGCTGGTGGAGGCTGCACACCATGTGGGGACTGGGTGGGGAGGTCCCCACAAGTCCCAACCTCCTTCACACCCCACACACCCACACCCTGCCCACCCAAGCTTCATGCTCCTGCCACCCTGCTAGGTATGGGCCCTTGGCTTTGTGCTCCTGCCTGCCCCAGCCCCATGCTCTGTGCTCCCTCCCAGCTGCAGCTTCCACCCCCCAGCTGCTGCTTCCCTACCTGCTGCCTGGAGCAAGCGCTGCAGCAGGGAGACAAGAATGAACTGTTGGAGGCTGAGGAAGCTTAACAAGTTCCCTGGCAGCTGCAGCAGTGGCAGCATCGGCTCTGCTTGGAAGCTGTGTATGCCTGCCAGGGCCCTCCTGCACAGGAAGGTGGCAGCTAAGTGTGTGGGCTGAGTGGGGTACAATTAATCTGTGGGCACCCATAAGCCGGATGAAATCACTTGGTGGGATGGATCCAGCCCACAGGCCATGTTTTGCCCACCCCTGAGTTAGCAGAAGCCAGGGAGTAAATCTAACATGCTGTCTTAAAGAAGAAATCCATTATTCAGCTATTAAACGTCATTTTTTTGAAAATCAAAATATTGAGAATCTGTTCCTGGTATTTCTAGGCAACAGCTTTGGTCATAATAAATAATATGACAAAAAGGAAGATCAACTTCCTAAAGTCACACGTATTTATATACTTTCTATGAGCATATTGAAACATGCTGCCTTGTAGTTGCTTATAACATTTGTCTCATTTCATCAGAGACTGTAACAGGGGTAGGCAATTATTTGGGCTGGAGGGCCACTGAACAGGTTTTGGTGAGCTGTTGAGGGCTACACACACACACACACACACACACACACACACACACACACACAATCCCTGCAGTTCTCCCTGCACCCCCTCTCCTGCCTTGAATCCCCAGCATGTGGCTGTGTCAGGCAGAAGCCATGCCAGGTGCCCCAGCAGCACCCATGGGCCCTGAAATGGGTACAGAAACACAGTGTGGCATTGGCCTGGCTTAGCTGCATGCCAGGGACTCAGGCAGGGAAGGGGGTGCAGG